TATCAAATGTCATCTCAGACACACACTCTCACGCTGCATTGCATTTCTATTAATTTTAAATTCTCTAAAGCGGTCAAATGTAAATTGTGTTATCATTTTCTAGCTTATCACAATATTGTCACATTTGTTTAATTAGACTCAAATGTTTTATAAGTGTTGACTAAACGCTTCCCTCCTCCTCAATTCTTAATACTGCCAATTGTTGATATTTTTTTTACAATTAGCATTTGTTTGACAACAATTGGCAGGCATCCAGCAATTGTACAATTTTCAATGTCACACACTGGTTAATGTAGACAAATGCCAATTGCATTGCGAGCAAAAAAAAAAAAAAAAAAACACATAAATAAATAAATGATGACTATGGAATAAATAATATTGAAATAATAAAAAAACCAATCTAATTATAACAACAATAACCGAAGTTTAATGACCATTTTGCATTATCTGCAAGAACAAAATTGTATTTTTGTTCTATTTGCAACGAAGTATTATTTATAGTTGTGTTGTATATATGTAGGGGCTTATATATAAATTGCGTGAGTATAGATAAGAAATATTGTCGAGATAGTGTACAGATTATGAATGAACAAATAACGTGTGATATTTATACCCTTCACCACACTGTGGTACAGGGTATTATGTCTTTGTGCATATGTTTGTAAGAGGCAAAAATAATCGAGATAGTCCCATGGTTCCTTTTGAGAATATGCATAAAATTCCGTCCGTCCGACTGTCCATGTTAAATTGTAAACAAAGTACAGGTCACATTTATGATCCGAATTGGATGAAATTTGGCACAGCTCATTTGTTTGGCCCAAGGACGAACCCTATTGAAATTGGAAAAATCGGTTCAAATTTAGATATAGCTCCCATATATATTTTCGCCCGATTTAAGGTAAATGGGGTGCCAAAGTCTTTATATATCTTTCGATTTGCACGAAATTTGGTATAGCCTACTGAATTAGATCTAGAATGATGTGTGCTAAGTTTCATGAAAATCGGTTCAGATTTACATATAGCTTCCATATATAGTTTCGCCCGATTTTAGGTAAATGGTGCACCAAAGTCCCTGAAAATCATTTGATTTGCGCGAATTTTGGCGTAGCGTATTGAATTACGTCTAGAATGACGTGTGCTAAGTTTCGTGAATATCGGTTCAGATTTAGATATAGCTCCCATATATAGTTTCGCCCGATTTTATGTAAATGGTCTACCAATGTCCCTATATATCATTCGATTTGCACGAAATTTGGTATAGCCTACTGAATTAGGTCTAGAATGATGTGTGCTATGTTTCGTGAAAATCGGTTCAGATTTAGATATAGCTCTCATATATAGTTTCGCCGATTTTAGGTAAATGGTGCACCAATGTCCCTGAAAATCATTTGGTTTTCACGAAATTTGGTATAGCATCTTGAATTAGGTCTAAAATGATGTGTGCTAAGTTTCGTGAAAATCGGTGGCATAGCGTATTGAATTAAGACTAGAATGACGTATTGAAATTAATATAAATTAATCTCTGGCAAGTTTCCTTCAAATCGGTTCAGATATAGATATATCGTAGCTTCCATATATAATTTCGACATATTTATAGAGATTAAATTTTAAACAGTGCAGCATACCGAATAGCGTGTGTCAAGTTTGTTTTAAATCGATTTACACAAATCTGTCCCACTGTTCGCAAACGACTTTAAAGTTGCCCAAATGAAATGAAATTTAGCATAGGTTCTAGTAAGACATAAAAATCGCATATTTAAGTTCGTTCAATTTCATGTAAAAATTCCTTCAAAAAGCGACGTCTTTTCGGATACATATGTAGAATATACCCAAAGTGGTGAAGGGTATCATATAGTCGGCTCAGTCCGACTTTACTACTTTCCTTACTGGTTTTTCAGATACGTGCATGTGCTCAGAGGTTATATGATCTAGTTACAAAAGATTAACTATATATTAAAACAGAAATTTATCCGACCCGACATAGACCGGAGAAGTTTACAGTATATTCAAGAGGAATGGTAAACCTTAAATTTATACAAATTATAATTTTTTGTATGTACTCGGATGTGAGAATTATACGTCAAAATTTACAGAGGACTAATACTAGAGAAAATTTTTCATGAAGTTCCGTCTACGACAAGGAGAAAACCTATAACTTTCGGTGATGATCAGTTAATGGACCGAATTCTTTTTTTCATGTCTGCTGTTCTAGTCGCTCTAGATGGACGGGGAATGGAACTAATTTATATGGCGGTTTTGATAATGATCGGTAAATATTTATCGGGTCAAATAAAACAACTCCGATACCACAAGACTCGAACAGACGCCAAAATAAGATAGATGAGGTCTAGACTTTTTGTCGGCCCAGAGGGTAAAACATATCGCGGAATTTTATCCAGACTCGGAATATAGATCCGCAGAAAGTTAGCGTTCTGTAGGCTATTAGTTAGCATCGTGTATGTTATTATATGTTTAGCCGGACGGGATCGCTATATAGGTAATATTCCGGATATGTAGGTAATATTCTGGATATATAGGTAATATTCCGTGGATATTTGGGTAATACCGCATGGATTTTTTGGTAATATTCCATGGCATGGTAATGGATATAAAGGAATACATTTTCAAGTATTATAGGGTAGATCTGATTACACCAATTATTTTAAACTCTAGGTAATACATCTGCTAGACATTTATGCAAGATTTTCTCCCTTGCCTATCGAGGACCATTGGTATTTTGGATTCACTTTGGCTATCAGATCTGCCCATGAAAAATTATCAATATTCGATATTTTGAAGGTATTGGGCACATGTTTCTATCTAATTGGTTGTTATTTGTTATTTTGGGTTGTTGTACTAAAAAATATCAATATTTGTCCCCCTTTTTGGGAAGACCCCATATAACGGTATACCCTATAGATCGGTATTGTAGGGAGCTTGAGTCCGCATCTGAACCAATTTGGGAATAATTTAATATTTTAATGTGCGTATAAAAAGTTATCAACATTTGACCATATTTCCGGATAGCTTTCATATAATAGTAACCCTAATTATTCGGTGTTTTGGGGTTTTTAGCGAATTTTTAACCGAATTGGCTTTAATTTGATTATTCAGGTTATGGTGGGGTGTCAAATCTTCCTACAAAAACGTTATTTGAATTACCCATTATGCGCTGAATCTCAAACATCGGCATTTTGGGGAGCTCGGACACGTGTTTTAACCAAATTAGTTATAATTATACCCTTCACCACTCTGTGGCACAGGGTATTATGTCTTTGAGCATATGTTTGTAACTGGCAAAAGGAATCGAGATAGACCCATGGTTCCTTTTGAGAATATGCATAGAATCACTTTCTCAGTCGAGTTATGCTTGTGAACAAAGCACAGGTCACATTTATGATCCGATTTGGATGAAATTTGGCACATGCCACTTATTTGGTCCAAGGACAAGCGCTATTGGGAAAAATCGGTTCAGATTTAGTTATAGCTTCCACGTATAGTTTCATCCGATTTTTTGTAAATGGTGCACCAAACTCCCAATATTGGTTTCATTGAGACAAAATTTAGCACTGAGTATTAAATTAGGTCTAGATTGATATACGCCAAGTTTCGTTGAAATCGGTTCAGATTTAGTTATAGCTCCCATATATAGTTTCGTCCGATTTTTTTGTAAATGCATCAAAATCCCAATATTGGTTCGATTGAGACAAAATTTTGCACAGAGTACTAAATTAGGTCCTGATTGATGTGTGTGAAGTTTTATTGGAATTCGTTCAGATTAACATATAGCTCCCACAAATAGTTCCATCCGATTTTTTTGTAAATGGTGCACCAAACTCCCAATATTGGTTCGATTGAGACAAAATTTTGCACAGAGTACTAAATTAGGTCCTGATTGATGTGTGTGAAGTTTTATTGGAATTCGTTCAGATTAACATATAGCTCCCACATATAGTTCCATCCGATTTTTTTGTAAATGGTGCACCAAACTCCCAATATTGGTTCGATTGAGACAAAATTTTGCACGGAGTACTAAATTAGGTCCTGATTGATGTGTGTGAAGTTTTATTGAAATTGGTTCAGATTTAGATATATCTCCCATATATAGTTTCGTCTGATTTGTAAATGATATGTAAATGAAGCATCAAAGAGTAAAATTTAGGCCGATTGGCACAACATTTCGCACAGCATATTGGATTAGGTCCAGATTGATGTATTCGAAGTTTTGTTGAAATCGGTTCAGATTTAGATACAGCTACCATATATAGGTTTGTCCCATATTTTCCAAATTGTGCACCAAACTCTCAATATTTGTCCGATTGGAACAAAATTTTGCTCGGAGTACTGAATTAGTCCTGATTGATGGGTGCGAGTTTTGTTGAAATCGGTTCAGATTTAGATATAGCTCCCATATATACTTTCGTACGATTTTTTTTGAAAATGGTGCACTCCCAATATTTGTCCGATTGAAACAAAATTTTGCACGGAGTACTGAATTAGGGCCTGATTGATATGTGCGAAGTTTTGTTGAAATCGGTTTAGATTTAGATATAGCTCCGATACATATTTTCGTTCGATTTTATGTAAATGGAGCACCATACCAAACTTATTTGAGTTTACTTTAATAGATCGTATTTGTAATGTAATGTGTCCCAAACTCTTTTTAGTGCGAATTCAAGCGATAACATGTTAAAATAACTTTCGATATTTTAAAGGAATCACCTATGCATCTAAGTTAGTTTTAAATTGATCAATGTCCTTCCAATTCCAATTGTACTGGAACTGTCCAATTTCCAAAATCTAGGTTTTCCTCGAAGGAAGTTAACATACTTCGCACGAAAAATGTTCCTATCGGGGCAATCAATACTTTATATGCCCTTAATGGTGACCATGAATCATTGTAGACTTTATGAAATGACTTCGAAAGATTTACGATTTCTTGGATGAGGTTCAATCACCGATGAGCTTTTATATTTCCTTTGTTTTGTATTTCCTTTCAGATGGTGATTTATAAAATCTTGAGAATAATCTGTATGCTCTTCATTCTAAATGGTTCAGAGGCGTATAATATTTTATTTATGGGACCATTTCCGGCACCCAGTCACTGGATGTGGTTGGAACATTTTCAAAGAGATTTGTTGGAGAAAGGACATACTGTGACCTCGGTGAATAATCATCCCACCAAACAGCCGCATCCCAATTTAACCGAAATTATAATTGATCCGAAATTCGATATACCCTATTATAGTAAGTTGGAGAACTCATATACCATTCATTTGTATGTGTATGTAATTAATTTCTACTTTCTTTCTTAGTCCCCAAGGAAAATATTTTCAAAATGCGTTTCGCCAGTGATTTTCAAAATTTACAAATGTGGTGGATGGTTGGCGAATGGACGAGCGAACATGCCCTAAATGATCCCAAGGTTAAGGCTCTGATTGCCTCGAAAGATAAAAAATTCGATTTGGTCATTTTGGAACAATTTTTCCATGAAAGTTTTCTAATGTTTGGGCATAAATTCCGTTGTCCAGTGGTAACAATTGGCACCATGGGTTATGCTGATAATATGGATCATTCAATGGGTTTGGTAACACCATGGTCCGTGATACCACATCTGCTATTGTCATATAGCGATAAAATGACATTTAAACAGAGGGCATATAATGTCTATTTGTCACTCTACGATGCTGTGATGAGAAGATGGTCATATATGCCAAAAATGCAGGAGATGGCGGAGAGGCATTTTGGTCCTCACATTAGGGGTGGGTCAAGGAGTTCAATTATTATTTTTAGAAAAAAAAATAATTAATGGTTTTTATTACAGGTCCCTTGCCTCATGTTCGGGATTTGGAGAAAAACATCTCTTTAATGCTAATCAATAGCCACCGGAGTACTGATTTACCCAGGCCAAGTATGCCGGGGTTAATCAATGTAGGTGGAGCCCATATTAAACCAGCCAAACCTCTGCCGCAGGATCTCAAGGTAAGTGATTGAAATACCTACTCCATAGAACATAAAATAATAATTTCTCGAATTTTATTTCCAGAACTTCATTAACAACTCCCCCAATGGTGTGGTGTACTTCAGTTTGGGTTCCTATGTGAAAAGTACCGACGTGCCCGCCGAGCGAATTGTTGTCATTCTAAATGCTTTTGGAAAGCTAAAACAAAATGTCCTGTGGAAATATGAAAATGAATCGATCGCCAATCTCCCACCAAATGTTATGATCCGCAAATGGATGCCACAAAATGACATCTTGGCACATCCGAATGTTAAACTTTTTATTACACATGGTGGCATCTTTGGTACCCAGGAGGGTATATATTGGGCCAAACCAATGCTCTGTATGCCTTTGTATGGTGATCAACATCGTAACACCTTGAAGTCGGTGCAGGCTGGTTATGCTCGTACCTTGGATTTTGCTAAAATGACCTCAGAAGATTTACAATTGAATATTCAGGCATTAGTATCAGATCCAAAATATAAACGCAAGGCTGTTGAAATTTCCCGCAAATTCCGTGATAATCCAATACATCCGTTGGATGAGGCAACCTATTGGATTGAATATGTTGCGAAATATAAGGGTGCACAATTTTTGAAATCAAATGCTGCATATATGCCATTGTATCAGTACTTGTTGTTGGATATTTTGGGATGTGTTGTTGTAGCTTTAATTGTGGCAATTGTGTTGCCATTGTTCGTGTTGAGAAAATTGAAAAGACTGATAACGAAATCTTCGAAAGAGGAGAAGGCGAAGAAAATGAAGTAAAACTGATGTTCTACTATGTGATATGAATTTATATATTTTTTTCATTTTAGTTATTTTATAAGATTTAGTTTATAATAAAGACAATAATAAATATAATTAAAACCAGTAAGGAAAGTAGTAAATTCGGGCAGGGCCGACTATATGATACCCTTCACCACTTTGGGTATATTCAACAGATGAATGCTAACAGACGTCGAATTCTGGAATTTATACTAAATTTTTCATTTGTTCAGATATAGGGTCGCCTCTTACAATGGGACAAAATTACCTACAATCGGGAGAAATTATATATAGAAGCTCTATCCAAATCTGAACCGATTTCAAAACTTTCCACATTTCAAAACTTTAGTACGTTGTGCAAAATTTGTGTCAATTTTGTGTAAAATCGGACGAAAATATATATGTAGTAGCTATAACAAAATCTGAACCGATTTCAATGAGTGCACAATTTACATAAAATCGGAAGAAAAACTATATAGGAGCTATATATAAATTTGAACCGATTTTTAGGAAACTTTACACACATCATTCCAGACTCATTTCAGTACACTATGCCAAATTTTGTGCAAATCGAAATATGTATAGGGACTTCGGTACACCCTTTATATTAAATCGGAAAAAAATTATATAGGAGCTGTATGTAAATCCAAACCGTTTTTCACGAAACTTAACGTGCACTATTCTAGACTTAATTAAGTACGCTATGCTAAATTTCGTGCAAATCGAAAGATATATGGGGACTTTGGTACACCATTTACATTAAATCGGACGAACATATATATGGGAGCTATATCTAAATCTGAACCGATTTTCAGGAAACTTAACACACATCATTCTAGACCTAATTCATTACGCGATGCCAAATTTCGTGAAAATCGAAAGATATTATATGGGAGTTATATCTAAATCTGAACCGATTTTTCCCAATTTCAATAGGGTTTGTCCTTGGGCCACTTAAATGACCTGTGCCAAATTTCATCCAAATCGGATCATAAATGCGACCTGTACGTTGTTAACAAAAATACATGGACGGACGGACAGACGGACATACTTAAATCGACTCAGAAAGTGATTCTATGCATATTCTCAAAAGGAACCATGGGTCTATCTTGATTATTTTTGCCTGTTACAAACATATGCACAAAGACATAATACCCTGTACCACAGTGTGGTGATGGGTACAAAAAGGGGGTTAGATGGGGACTACCCCTAAAAGGGGGTGAATATTAATACATTTTAGTAGGGAGATATGGGGGCTACCAGAAAAAATAAAGCTATATCTATAATTTATATTTGCTACCCAATAAGAACTCAAAGTACTAAATAACAGCCAATTCGGCGAAAAATGCGATCAAACACCCAAAAAGTGGACCGATATTTATAATTTTTAGTTTAGATATTTGGCACCGAATAAGGACCCAATATACCAAATTTCAGCGAATTCGGTTGAAAACTGCACTCAAGAACCCCAAAATACCGAAAATTGGGCGGTACCCTTATATGGGGGCTATCCGAAAAAATTGACCTATGTTTATAATTTTTAGTGGGGAGATTTGCTGCCCAATAAGAACTTAATGTACCAAATTTCAGCGAATTCGGTTGAAAAACGCACTCAAGAACTTCAAAATACCGAAAATTGGGGGGTACCCTTATATGGGAGCTATGCCTAAACGTGGACCGATATAGGACATCTTCGAATATGATCTGCCTGCAGACAAAAGACGAATCTATGCAAAATTTTGGCGACCTATCTCACTTAGTGAGTGAGTGATTACAACAGACAGACGGACATGCATAAATCGTCATATGGTGGAGGGTACGATTGAAAATTACTGTACATGGTGAAAATATTGAAATAAACGACGTTTACTACTTTTATTACATTTATGCAGGTATTTGACGTTTTCAACGTTTGCACCTTTTTGACAGTCAAAAACCTAAAAAATCGTCAAACGGCCCAATGCTGGACCAAACATTTTTGAAGTCACTAATAATTGTCAATTTCTAAAGCATACTTTTAGGCGCCTAATGTTAGGTTATTGTGAATTATATAGTAGCGACACAAACCATATTGTGAATTATCTTTTAGATACATAATAGAGAAAATAGTAAAGTGTTCGTGTATTATCAATGTTGCCATTATTATTATTATTGACTGGTCACGTATGTATTTTGAAAACCGACCAAATATACTAAAATACCAAATAATGGTTAATTAATTATATTACGATAAAGCTCGCAATATTTAAAATTGTTACGATTCCTAAGATTTTTTGTATTGAAAATGGGCTATACCGGTATACGTTATGGTATATCACTCATTAAAGGCGCCCCCAATAGTTGGTATTGACTATTGGGCAGGTTTTTTAAACATTATCAGCTGTAATCTGGTACTTTGGGTTGTCAGTGGGTAGAAAATCTAAAAATGATCTATAATGGTCCACTTTTTATGTTACCCCCCATATAACGGTAGCGCCCAATATTCGGTATTTTTAGGGATTTGGTTTTTATATTATGCATTCTCATTCTTTGACAATTTTTTCGGGTAGCCCCCATATAATGGCACCCAGTTGTTCTGTATTTTGGGGGTGACATTATATTCAATCAAATACAGTCTAATTTGATTTTTCATATTTTTATGGGGTGTCACATCGTCCTTTATGTTTTGGTATAGCTCCCATATGACGGTACGGACCAATGTTCGGTATTTTTAAGTCTTTAATTGCATTTTCCCACCGGTGTGGCTGTAAATTGGTATGAGGAGTTCTTGAAGGCTAACATACATATATAGACAAAACCATCAATATAAGTCAATGTGTTGGCATATTTGTGGAAGGTAGCATATAGGGCAGCCTCATCATCTTTTTTAATATAGGCTTGTTAAAATAATACGATGTGCAAACTAAGGGTCAAATTGGTAATTCAACTAGCTTCAAATTAAATTTACAAGTTTTTAAAATTTTGGATATTTGTGGGTGTGGTATCAAAAGAAGAATGGTTTCCATATTCGGAATTGATGTTAGTTTGGTAAAAGTATTACGATCTGCAAAGTTTGTATTAAATCGAGATCTTTCGTGAGTTATGGTGATTACCATCTACCCAGACAGACGTACCGATAATTGTAAATCGACTGCAAATTGTCTGAAACGCATTTGGTCTGACGAAACATGGGTTCTAAAAGAAATATTCTTATGAAGCAAATTTTTGCCGTATCAAAAACAAAAACCAGTAAGGAAAGTAGTAAAGTCGGACTGGGCCGACTATATGATACCCTTCACCACTTTGGGGGTATTCTACATATGTATCTTTACAGATGTCGTCTTTTTGAAGGAACATTGACATGAAATTGAACGAACTTAAAAATGCGATCTTTATATAAAAGTAAACCGACTAACATCAATCCTTACACATGCCATTCTGCAATCTATTCCATACTTTGTAAATAGACTTTAAGCAAACTTCACTGTTTATGCTTCACTGTTTAAAATGTAATATCAATCAAGCACCCATTGATTATTTGGTTTACAATCAACATAAATAGGTCGAAATTATATATGGAAGGTATTCTATATCTATATCTAAACCGATTTCAAGGAAACTTGGCCGATATTAATGTATATTAATTTCAGTACGTTTTGCCAATCGGCCTAGCTATGGGTCTTTAGTACACCATTTACTTAAAATCGGACGAAAGTATATATAGAGACTATATGTAAATCTGAAGCAATTTCAAGAAAACATGACACACGAAAGGTTCAGTACATTGTACAGAATTGTGTGCGGGTCGGCCAATATTTGGTTCTTTAGTGTACAATTTACATTAAATCGGACGAAAATATATATTGGAGCTATATCTAAATCTGAACCGATTTTTACACATCATTCTGGATCCAATTCAGTACCCTATGGCAACCTTCGTGCAAATCGAAAGATATATAGGGACTTTGGAAACCCATTTACCTTAAATCGGACGAAAATATATATGGGAGCTATATATAAGTCTGAACCGATTTCCTCGAAACTTGACACACGTCATTCTTGACCTAATTCAGTACTTTATGCCAAACTTCGTGTAAATCGAAAGATATATAGGGACTTTGGAGACCGATTTACCTTAAATCGGACGAAAATAAATATGGGAGCTATATCTAAATCTGGACCGATTTTCACGAAACTTGGCACACATCATTCTGCACCTAATTCAGTACTCTGTTCCAAATTTCATGCAAATCGAATGATATGTAGAGACTTTGGTGCACCATTTACCACAAATCTAACGAAACTATATATGGGATATATATCTAAATCTGAACCGATTTTCTCGAAACTTGGCACAAATCATTATTGACCTAATTCAGTACTCTGTGCCAAATTTCGTGCCAATCGAGAGATATAGAGGGACTTTGGTGCCCCATTTACCTTAAATCGGAAGGAAATATATATGGGAGCTATATCTAAATCTGAACCGATTTTTCCCAATTTCAACAAAGTTCGTCCTTGGGCCAAATTAGTGAATTGTGCCAAATTTCATCCAAATCGGATCATAAATGCGACCTGTACTTTTTATACAATTTAACATCTACAGACGGACGGACGGACATGCATAAATCGACTCAGAAAGTGGTTCTATGCATATTCTTAAAAGGAATCATGTGTCTATTTTGTTTCCTTTTGCCTGTTACAAACATATGCACAAAGACATAATACCCTGTACCACAGTGTGATGATGGGCATAAAAAATGCTTCGTAGAAATAGTAGTGAAGTAAAAATTGATTTTATACTATCATGCGAATAGACTATCCGATATGAACAAAACTTTGAATTTTTTACTAAGCCTAGATAAAGTCAGAATATGGGACCCACATGTCCACAAAGGGTCAAAATGTTCAATATGTATTTATCTCAATAGTCATAAGGCTGAGAGTATAAAAATCTTACGGTTAGATAATCAAAGGTCTTAAATAGTTACAATAGTTCGGAGAAAACCCGCATCGATGAG